ATAACGAGAAATTGTACCTTGAAAGAACAGATTACCTGTGCCAACGTCACAACCCTCCTCTTTTCCTTTCTGGCCTGTGTTGGGATCTGCTGTTTGGTGTTTGTGCTGCGTAATTAAAGAGCAGTCTCCTGTCATATTTACTCATAAACTATGAGTCCAAATAGTTCTTGGTGTCTCTGCAGAGGAGGAAGAGACTGTGCTCTATTCTCAAGGTTCTCTTGCTTTGTCTGATAATCAGCTCAACGCGAGGCAGGTTAGCAAGAGAAAGTGACTAAACTCAACACTCAGCGAGTCCCTCTTCAGCCGCCCTTGACCCAGGTCCTCACCAGCAGAGCTGAGCACTCGCCTTCCTGCCGTCGGCGTCCAGGGAGCATCAATGGCGACACTGAGGAGTGGCCCCACGGCCCCTGGTCCTGTCAATCGTGCTCGTCTCGTGTCCCCAGCACTGAAAACTGACATGGACTCAAAGCCAAAGCTCACCCCGAAGCCCACGGCGCTCCTGCTCACATTTTTAAAGATTGCACGGGGCCGTGTGGGCTCGCGGCCGCGCTTCGAACCCTCTGCAAAGACCATCAAATGTCCGGTCTTCGTGTCATGTAAAGCATCGCCCTAAAACGTCAAAGTCCAGCTCTAGAATCAGAGTCTCCTCTTGGTGGGGGCAGGCGTCTCCGCCCCAGGTGTTCTGCGTGGGTCTAGTTACTTTCACTGCTCATCCCCCAGCCCTTAGCTTGGGGCCTTAAAGTCCTCACTGAGTGTTTTATGGAAGCATATTGACACCTAATCAAAAAGTTATTTTCAGAGCCACTTACATTCTGATCTAAAGCCTTGTAATGCGTATTTATGCTTCTACGCACGTCTTGACACCTGAATTTGCTGAGCCGCTGTCCACTCAGGGAAGACACCTGTGGGGCGCCATGTCTTCAGTAAAGCGGGCCCTGCTTCTCTGCTTCGCGTGCCCTCTGTACCTCTCATTCGTGTTTTCTGTGAACCAGGACTGAGGCTCTGCACACGGCTTATATTTCCAGTCACATGTATGAGGAGCTAGCGAGGCCGGGAGGCAAGAGCAGCAGGGGCGACCCTAGTTCCCTGCAGTGGCAACTCTGGTCCTACTATGGCAGCGACGATCGGCTTCCAATTCCAGCTTTGGCTTTTCCTCCACAGTCTGGGTTCTACGCTTCCAGAATCATCTTTATAGACGCCCAGCCCACTTCTGAGCTGTCTCTCCCCCGGGCCTCCCCTGCCAATTTCTCGATTGTCCCACCTCTCCATGTTCTCCCGGTGCTCCCCGCCCTGCGCCTGCTCCTGCTTCCTTCGCCATCTCTGACACACCAGTTCTGCTTCTGCTTTCCAGTATCCCAACACCCGGGTGACGCTGATGAAATCATCTTTGTAAAAATCACAGGCAGTTTTCTGTCCTCCCGATGGGACGCTGACGTCATGGTGCCCAGCCTCTCTCGATGTAAAGGGCTATTTCTACTTCACAGGTTAAAGATTTTCCTTACCGATCACCCCTAGGCATCAGCACTTTGATAGTCACATGACACATTCCCTGCCCTCAAGGACACAGAGTCTCCGGAGGGTCCCTCACCATCGGTTCTCCCAGGCAGGTGAAGCATTTATTCTAGGAGTCAGAAGGAGTACAACTTGAGTGTAGCCCACAGGCCTGGGGGCTATGAGGCTTCGTGTCCTCACCTGGCCAAGCCATCCTTTTTAGCTGAGTCAGGACACGTGAAAAATTAATAGGAACACACCAAGAAAAGACACCAAGCTTAGTGCTGGAGAGAGGAGAAAATCAATGTAAAAAAAACTTTTAAAGTGTGGAGAACACCCTCTGTTCCTCACTCATGAAATGAAAATATTAGTAAAATCGACTTCATGGATACTTTTGTGTAAACGAATGCAATAATTATAACAAATATAAATATTTTAGGGCTACTTAAAATTCACAAAGTTTTTTATGGACATTATAAGGTGAATTCTGTCATTACTCCTATACTTTACCTGTAATAAAAGCTTTTTGAAGTAGTATTGCAATCAGAAGTAATAATAATACTGTAGTGGGCAGAGGAAGTGCTTCTCCAGGAAATTGGAATTTCTGCTATGAAAATCAGACCTTGGCATAGCAAAAAGGAAATTAAATTGCTGCTGTTAAAATTAGAGCAATTTCAAAATTATGTGAGCCTGAAATACTTTGGAAGAATTTACATGCATCTATAGTATTTTTGATAATATTTATACATTAAGATTTAAATATTGTTATAATCTTAAAGAACATCGTTGAATACATTAATAATTCTTAAACTAGGATAAATGCATTAATTTTCTATTGCTAGCTTGAAGAATTATCACCAACTTAATGGCCTAAAAGAATACACACTTCCAATCTCATAGTTCTACAGCTCGGCATTGGGACACGGATCGCATTGAGCTGGATCCGGGGCGTCCAAAAGAGAATCGGCCTCCTCGTTTCTCCAGCTGGTGGAGGCTGTCCTCCTCCTTCCTGTGCGCGAGGCCCCTTTCCTGGATTTTCAGGCTGGCGCTCTGGCCAAACCCGTGTCGTGCTGCACCTCTAGGTTCTGTCTCTAGAGTCCCTCTTCCAATGTTACATTGGATTCCTGAGATTACATTGGGGTTCCCTTGGCTAATGTAGGGTAATCACATCATTTTAAACTGAGGCGAGACGGACACATTTCCCAGAGTTGCAGAGGGAGGGAGACCAAGCCTTGCACCGAGAGAAGAAGAGGGTCCTTCGGCAGAGACTTTAGAAAGAATCCAACACACACAGCAAAGCGAGAGTCAAAAGCAAAGTTTATTGGAGTAGGGATAACACTCCACAGACAGAGGGTGGACTAAGGTGAGGACAGAGAGAGGGGCAGAGTAAAGAGTACCCAGAGAGAGACAGTGAGAGGGACCCTGAGGGCTCCGGGAATTCAGTTTAAACATCATTCTTTAGCGACTGCGAGTTATGGTTTAAAATACTTTGTCATAATCCCTTTCCTTTAATATGGACACATTAAGGACGGGGAAGAGTATGCGCATGAACACGTAAGACAGTCCCCAGCTGCTGGCAGTCCCCAGCCTTTCACCCATGCGTCCCTCATGGTTTTAGACATAGGGAATGACTGTTGGTTCCAGTTTCCCCTTCCACCGCTGTGGGGAATGAGTCATGAGCAAACCCAGCAGAAATCTGCCTTTGTTCTGAAGGTGTCCTCATAGTCTGGCTGCAGGGCTGATCAGCTTATTACGGCCTCTGAATGTAGCTTGATTAACATATTTTATTCTCTTGCTTCCTCCCTGCGTTACAACCAACCTCAGTTCCATCTGCCTTTTGTCAAATTACCTAACATTCGCACAGATTCCAGGGATTAGGAGGTAGATTTAATGGCTGGTATCATTTTGCCTAGCACAGTAGGCGACGGTGTATTTAGAATCTGATAGAAAGCTCTGTAGAGCACTTTCTGCTCCTAGAGGGAGAACATAGAGACGCATGATGGTGAACAATTTCGGGGAGTCCATCGGCTCCCCCAGCCCATACGGACGCTGTTTACCGCTGGGGCTACAGAAAGTGAAAACTGACTCTGTATAACTCTCACACAGCACATCGGCCTGGCATTTTTAGTTTTTGGTTATTTTACATTTTACTTATTGCTTCTGTTCCTGATGCATTTTGTTTGAATAGTTATACATACTTTGTGTACATTGTGGGGGGTGTGTGTGTGTGCACATTTCTGTGTTATGTATGGAGGAGGAAGTTTATTATTTATGACAGAAGTTATACAAGAACACATAAAATAGTATTACCTTTTTCCTACCTGTATTGAAATCCTAATAGCACTGTGTGTACACGCTTAGCTTTAACTCCACATGAGATTCCATTCACGGAGATATAACCTTAAGCAGGCTGTACCCACAAGAAAAGTGTAGATTGTCATTATCACCGTGTGTCTATATATATATACGGGGCAGAAAGTACTGGTGTGGTAACTGGAATGACTTGAATTTTTTTTCCTGTAAAAAGAATTTTTTTTTTTGTCAATCAGGACAAAACGAAACATGTAAATTCCACCTTAGAAGAAAAAAAGCATAATTTTACAACACAATTTTAATAAAGGAGAGACACCAAAATACCTTCAGGATGTTTCTTTCCTGAACTGCCAATATCATTCTCTTTAATGGAGTTATCTGGCCCATGATCTAAACATTCTTAGAAAAAGGTGGGAAAACTCTCATTACCATGGAGTAGCCCATCCGGGAGCCAGTGATGTTCCATTTTCAACTTCCTTGCACGTGAACTGTCCCGTTCCCATCAGCATGCAGAAGTAACATTGCTCTAAGCAAACAAACCCACTAATGTGCACAGTGGTTACAATTAAACTGTAATTAAAGAAAGCGTTTTCTTCACACGAAGAGGTATCATCGGAAGCGCTCTTTGTTTTCCATGTTAGTGGTCAGTTTCCCTCACCTGTCAGTGCTTTAGCTGGCTTGACAGCAAGAGCAGCAGACCCGAGAGACAGCAACCCAGCACTCGCCCACGACTAAATGCATTTGCTTCAACCCAAACGTCTGTATGTCTCAAGGAGCTAGCACCACTGCGCGGCTTGACAGTTCCCTTTAGAAAAATTCAAAACTAACAGTTTGACATTATAATTAGTACACGCTCACACTGTGTACAGTCACTACAGCTCTTCCGGCGAGAACGTGGGTGGCTCTGAAAAGAGCCTTTGGGTTAAAGCGTGGCTGCAGAGGGACTCACTTGGAGCTGGTGTACTTGGTGACGGCCTTCGTGCCCTCGGACACGGCGTGCTTGGCCAGCTCCCCGGGCAGCAGCAGGCGCACGGCCGTCTGGATCTCCCGCGACGTGATGGTCGAGCGCTTGTTGTAATGCGCCAGGCGCGACGCCTCGCCCGCGATGCGCTCGAAGATGTCGTTGACGAACGAGTTCATGATGCCCATGGCCTTGGACGAGATGCCGGTGTCGGGGTGCACCTGCTTCAGCACCTTGTACACGTACACCGAGTAGCTCTCCTTGCGGCTGCGCTTGCGCTTCTTGCCGTCCTTCTTCTGCGCCTTGGTCACCGCCTTCTTGGAGCCCTTCTTCGGGGCGGGCGCCGACTTGGCGGGCTCGGGCATGTTCACAGAAAACAAGATACAAAGGAGGAGAAGTTCTAAAATGCCAGCTCAGGTCTAGAGTGTCCCCATTTATAGTCGCTCTATGCAAATAAGGTGCTCAGGAATACCCAGATCTGATTCGATAGTGTGTTAGTGACGAATATATGTAAATTTCGTGCCTCACATCTCTTTTCTTATTGGTTGGCTCTGTAAAAGAATCATTTCTGACCAATCCCGTTCCTTCTTTTGCAATTCCATCCAGCACTATAACTGGCGTCTGGTTGCTCCCTGCAGAACATTTCCTTTATTGCTTTCCCTGTGACAGTTCCCACTGCTACTGCCAAGTATGTCCGGACGAGGGAAGCAGGGCGGCAAGGCTCGCGCCAAGGCCAAGACGCGCTCGTCGCGGGCCGGGCTGCAGTTCCCCGTGGGCCGCGTGCACCGCCTGCTGCGCAAGGGCAACTACGCCGAGCGGGTGGGCGCCGGCGCGCCCGTGTACCTGGCGGCCGTGCTGGAGTACCTGACGGCCGAGATCCTGGAGCTGGCGGGCAACGCGGCGCGCGACAACAAGAAGACGCGCATCATCCCGCGCCACCTGCAGCTGGCCATCCGCAACGACGAGGAGCTCAACAAGCTGCTGGGCAAGGTCACGATCGCGCAGGGCGGCGTGCTGCCCAACATCCAGGCCGTGCTGCTGCCCAAGAAGACCGAGAGCCACCACAAGGCCAAGGGCAAGTAAACGCCTGCTTTTGTTTGCAGCCGCTCGAGCAGGCCGAGTCCAAACCAAAGGCTCTTTTCAGAGCCACCCACGTTTTCACTAAAAGGGCTGCGTGTTCCTAATTAAGCCTCTGGTTGCAAACGACCTTTACGCCATTTGGCCGGTAGGTGTCAGCACTTCAACACTCCATAACGCGAAACTGACCCTCCATTTAAAAGTAACAATAAAAACGAAAGTTAACCATCAGCTGAGTAAAGGGTACACAGACTTTGTGTCAAAGGCGATTAGCGAGTCCCGCCTCAGTTTGTAAAGCGCGTCGCGGTCCGGCGGCTCCTCTTCTGGAAACCCAAGTCTTCTTTGGTTACCACTAACAGCCGTTGCTAAGGTTTTACATACTTGCCACGAAGAGGTCAGTTCACTAAGCCGTTGCTCACATTTTATGCAGCATAAGATCTTAGGAAAAAAAATAGGAAACTAGATTTCTGGCTCCCCTATGACTGAAACAAGAGATATACGTTTATAAACGCACAAAAGAATGGATGTTAAGGCATCTGCAGCTCTGTCAGGACATAAGTTAAGGCTGTAGGCCGTGTAAGTGACATAATAGCAGGAATCAATACCTTTATGTCTCAGTGTTTTGAAATACTTTTGTGACTGTGTATATACATATATACATGATGATATATACACTATATTCAAGTAAACTTGCTGTCTGAAAGTCTAAAATATGAATAAAAGAAATAGAACAAAGGAGGGATAGTTGACCAGACACGTGTCAGGGAGGGCTTTTTGAATTTTACTGACGATAGCATTCTTAATGAAAATTTTTTAGTCTGTTGCTTGTCTTTTCAGAAAATAATAAAGTACACAAATCGAGACGCTAAACGAAACCTCACTTTTATGGGCTTAAAATGGAATATTCACGCGAAGGAAATTTTTGATTTTATATCAATCATTAATGCAAACAAAATCAGTTAAATCACAGCGTGGGACCTACAAACCCGGCGGATCTGCTCTCATAAATAAGGCCAGAAACCAAGGCAGTTCTCTCCAGCCGGCTTCCCTTCCCGAGCTGCTCTAAGGCGCCAATGAGGCCAGCGGCCTGCAAGTCCCAGGCATGAAGGCCCCAGGCAAGCAGCTGGCCACCAAGCGCCTCCAAGGTCCTGGCAGGATTTAGAAGTCTAAAAAGCAGATACAGCCCTGACCTTTGACACAGAGAAACTGGTCTTCATGCTATTACCTTATGACAGTTACCAGAATGTAAAATTCAGAACAATAAGCCAAATCTCATAAAATGTAATAATAGATGTTTCTTATTTATAATTTATTGCTGTGAAAACCACCAGGAAGAGAAACCTAGTTCAAAACAGTATAGGAGATTTATATATATACATATACATATATATAGAGAGAGAGAGGGAGAGAGAGAATGTAACATACATTAGAGAGTATGTGATATATATTAGAGAGTATGTAATATATATTGCACACTCTCTCATATGTCTTTATGAAGTGTGAAAGAAGGTGAAGGAAACCAGGATAGTTTTGTTTTATGAAAGTGAAGTAAACTAGAATAATCACCCCTAAAATATGCTTTTGTGACATAAAAAAAAACTATTTTGCCCATGACAGTGGTTAAGCAGCAGCAATCGCGGACAGGTCCTCTCCTCCCTAGCCTTTTCCTGCCTCGAGGCAGGAGACCAGTGTCGCGCTGGAGATCTCTGTGTGCCAGTGACTTAACACACTGAAGGAACAAGCAGGCTCTGCCTGCAAAGCCTACTCTTCGTTTCCTCCCATACATTTCCCTTCCTACAATCTGCCGCCCTTAGAGCCTAAAACTGCTTTTCTTTGTGCTTTCATTTCTCTACAAATCTACTGGACTTTGTCGAAGATGTTCTATAAACTGGAGTTCTCAGCTACCTCTTGGAATTACTCCTTCCTGGGTCTTCCCCATGTATATATGAAATATGCATGTTAATAAACTTGTTTTTCTTTCCTTAATCTGTGTTATATGTACCCGGTCCTCAACCGAGAACCAGATGGATAGAGGAAAAAGTTGGCTCCTCTACAAAAGGAAGACAATTGAAATAAAAACAAAAGAGCAAATTCATCAAAAAGTGTTATCATCCTATGGCACCATTATATTTATTAGGTTGTCTTTTCTACTGTTAAATAGGATCTCGAGGTCTGGGCATCTTACTAAATGCTATTCTTGTTAAATGTTAAAATGTAGCACAATATTTTGCAGACACAGTTGCAACCAGATGAGCTTGACCAGAACCAAACTGGGTAAGTGTAGCACACCCCCAAGGAGAAATCAACATGTAATTAACCAAATAGTGTGTATACTCAATGGCTAAGCCTTTCTTCCTGGAAACAGAGTTTCATTTGCGAATCCCCTGCCTCCTTTATTTGCAACAAGTAAATAAAACTATCTAACAACCACCTCTCACTCTTGAATAGAGCACCCCATGTGGCAAACCCCTTGAATTCAGTACTACTACTAGGTGGAGATAAATTTCATCTCTAATGGACAAAAACCGCTGAAATTATCTTTCGTCCTACAAATTAACATCTAAATTCACAGATACTTCACTGATAATGGGTTCTAAGAAATAGTCAAACAGAAGCATATTCTCCTGGAATACTTAAAAAACACTCGGCAGGCCTGTTAGACAATGAGAGGAAATGCGGCCCATCCCTTTACCTTAATTTGGCATTTTGATATTTCTTAACGGGTTTCACAGCTGCTCTGCAGTGACCAGAGGTCTTCCCTGGTCCTCAGTGAGCCCGAGCCTCATGAACCCTCTGCTTCCCTGTCTGCTCTCTCCACCTTCCTATATCATGCATACCAACGATGAGTTGTCACTACATGGAGGGACAAGTGCTCAATTTCCAAGGCCTAAAGAAGGTGAAGGAAGGTTACCAGCGCCTCCCCGTAGGCCTTCTTACCTCCAGTCAAGTCAAAGTCATATGACGTCTCTTGTTCACCTTCTTTTTCAAAAGGCTAAAATCGTGAATCATCAAATATAAAATGAATATGTGTCGAGGGGCTTCTCTAACTCATCAATGAGTGAAGAAACAGGAAAATGGTATGATAGGTTCAAAAGACATTTAAGAAATGTAGGCATTTATAGAAATTTTAAGAAAGAAACATTAGGATAGAATTGTTGAATTAGGCTACAATGAAATTAATGTCTAAAAGGCCATAAGCCTTTGGAGTTATACCTGATGCACTCAACAGAAATTATCTACTTCTCTACCAAACAAAACCCTACAAGTTAACAAGTAACTTCACTGAGTGTGGTACCTTTAATCGACACTAAACTGTGAGACAATCAAAGTGCATCTTCACAGAACCCTTTTGTAGCCTTTAACTTGTTATGTTATTGAACACCACAGCCCCTCATTTTTTCCTAACTTAAGTATCAGATAATTTTTTTTCACACTGTGAAACCTTACTTAAAAAAAATAAATAAATAAAAAACACAGAGCCTGAAAGAAAAATTTATATGAAACGTCATGGTGTAACTCCTTGACATTCTTATTTTACTCATTAATCAAATAACAGATGATTTGACTTTTTAATCTTTCTAGGCTCCAAAGTAATTGACCTGATTTTTCTTAAATCAGAAATAAATTGTCTTCTGGCCTTCATTCTTTCCATGAAATGCTTTTGTGATTCTTAATGACTTCTTTTTTAAACCATTGTAATGTGCAGTCTCTTCTACTGAACCTCGAGCTCTCTTAAACAACGATTGCTTTAAAAATTAGTTCTGAATGCTTTCTATCAAGATTTTACACTTTCGAAACAAAAACGTTAGCCACAGATTTCCAGGTAGTCTCCACCTCCTGCTATCTTGCCCTTGAATAATTCTAAGATCAATAATTCTTCTAGTATCTATCTTTTCTTAGAGAATAGGCTACCCCAAAATGTACCACCTTGGCATGTGGATTATTTTGCCTTCAAGTCAATGAAGAGCCAGCAGAATCAATTAAAAAAAAAAAAATCTTACCTCTCCCTTAACTACCTCAAGAACGTACATAGGGGCCTGTCCAAGAAAGAAACTTATTGCAAGAGATAACTTTCAGTGGAATGACCTCCCTGTCCGCAGGGCAAGCATCTGCTCACCAGACGTCTCCTTATCTTTCTGTGGATTGTGCTCCTGCTCTTGGCAGCCCCAGGCCCCACCACGTTCCTTAGCTCAGGAGAGCACAGGAGCCTCAAAGGCCTGGCTGCATTTGGGTTGCATTTTTTTTTTTTTTTTAACTTTAAGATTGAATTGGATGATTCGATCATCCAATTTGGGTTATTTTTGTAATAGCCCGCTGAAATGTGAAAGGGTTAAAGAATATTTAAAACCTGAAACTGGACAAAGGAAGTCTATAACTTAGGCCTAGTTTCTGGAACCCCTAACCACATTCTGTTAATCATGAAACTTGTAACAATGAGCTCATACGCTAACTGCCAATTTTAGCCTGTGTAACCCTGCTTGCTTGCGTGGCATGAAAAATAATCAATTGTATATAAGCTGAAAATTACTGTTTGGCCATCGCCCATGGGAACACTGGCTATTGTCCATGGGAACATAGGCAATCACCCATAGGAACATAACATTCTAACACAAGCTTTCTGCTTCTGTACTTCCCACTTGCACACCTGACCAGTGGGTTGACAGGTAGTGAATAGGAGAAAGATGGACCTTTGTGTTTAAGACAGAATGAGGAATGGGATTTGGGGCTTAAAAACCTTGTATCTTGGGAATTCAGGGCTGCTCCTTCGCAAGGACAGCCGCCGGCTAATAAACTGTCTCCTGGTTAAGAGCACTCAAGTTGGGTCTGGTTATTCTGGACACAACAATTTTAAGGTCTATTGAATGATTCATAAATCAGGCAGCATTCCATCTAGTAAATAGAAAGACACTCCTGGGTTGCAAATTTTTTTGAAGGCTCCCTTAATGTACATTCAAATTAAACTTTTTTTTTTCCTGTAAGTCTGTATTATGTCAATTTGATTATTAGAACAGTCAAGGAACCCAGAAAGACAGAAAAAAAAAAAGTTTTCCTCCCTACACCATGATGAGCAATGGTTTCTTTGAAAATTCTCCCTCAGTTCCCTAATATGGCTTTTATTTGTTTATCATTATTATTATTTTTAAATAGAAATATTAAGAAAGAAACGTTAGGATAGAATTGTTGGATTGCTTCCTTCTGGTTTGAGGCCAGCCTCTATAGCTGGGCTTTTT